AAAAAGAAAATTAAGGGAGCGATAAATTCTAGAGAAGCAAAGGAGAAAGTGATGTCAGAGAGAGTCATTTTGGGTGTAACCAAATTTTGCAGCTGCTATTCTCAAGCTAAATAACCTCAAGAAAGTTACATTAACTTCCCTCTGCTTCAGTTTCCTTATTTACAAAATAAGGCTAGTATTAGTTCCTAATTAATGGTCGATTAAATAAAATAATAAGTATAATACAATTAACATAGTGTCTGGCACATAGTAAGGACTTATATATGTAATGAGCTTTTCTTGTTTTTGTTTTTAACTGTCTGACTTGAAGATACAAGTTAAGGAGTGATCAATCTGGAAGTGTCAAAAGAAGCTGCTAGTATTAATGAGATGGTCTGGCAAGACTGAGCCTCAGCAAATGTAGCCCCTGGATCATCTGCATCCAAATTGCCTTGTAAAGGAGAAGATGCTTCTTAAAAATTATACTTCTAAACAAACTAAAAAATTATATTTCTAGATCTCATTGAAGCAGAAACACTGGTAGTTAAGACTTGGAATTGTCCCGTGACTCTCGTGCATTCCTAAATATAATACAGAGTATCAAACTACTAATATAGAGTATCAAAAACACCACATATAAAATCTCAAAGACCATCAACATTTACAACTCAAGAAAAGGAAAAGCACCTCTTCAAGGGAACAGGAAGGAGTAGTCACAGGTGTAGATGCAGAAAGCAATGCAATAGAGCACTGTCTTAGAATTCAAAGGATAAAGAATTTAAGAAAATTCACAATTGTCTATCTCTAACTCTTATTCTACAATTATCTCTTTAAAAGACAAAGAGAAATATTTCAAGCATACACAAAAATAATATACTTTGTATATCTATTATATCTAAATAATATAATTTGTATATCTATTACCAGTCTAACAAAATAAAAATCACCAAATATAGTTAAGTTCTTTCTTTATCCCTTACAATTGCATCTCCTCTTGGTGTTCTAAGCCACACGACCAGTATCTTGAACTTAGTATTTACTATGTTCTGTATTTCTTTATACTCTAATGTATATCTATGTACGTCCCTCTTCAAAATGTATGCTTTAAATTTAAATTTTATGATAGCCCCACTTCAAAGTTTAGCTCAATATTACTTTTGTGAAATTCATTCATGATGATGTGTATAGCTTAGCTTCATTTTTCATTTGTATTGTGTATTATATTTTATGGAGTCTACTATTTTATTATTCTACCTCTTACTGATGTTTAGATTATTTTCTGTGTTTTCTATGCCACAAATATTCCTGTTTCTTTGTGTGCAAGTACATGAGTTTATCTGTTCTCATTGTAATGTTTTTATTGCCAGATGCTCTCCATACTTATACCAGTTTACATAGTCATCAAGACTACATTTCAAAAGACATTTTTTTTTTCCTGTGGATCTCTTGCTTTTTTGCATATCATTGTGCAGAGGCACTGTCTTTTTCTTCCAGCCTATCTTTTCAAGGTCATTTGCATAGCAAATATTCTTAGAATATAGAGATAGTGTCTCCCTCTGGAGCACAGGGAAGGTCTATTTAATGTCCAGTATAATAATATAATGTCTCCCTTTTGGATAATGGCTGAGCAGTTTTGGTTACTGTCAATTATAAAATTCTAAGGTTTCTTAAGCTCAGAATTTTTCAAATGTGACACAAATCCAAGTCGTGTGCAAAATCCACTGGGCACTTTATCACCCCTGTAGCACTTAGAGACAAGGGGAACCAATGCCAGTGTAAATCTTATGCTGTCCATCAATTCATGAGTCCTTTTCTTTGACCCAGTAGTCGCAGGTCATCTGCTAGTATACATGATACTGTTGCAGGCCAACTTGTTAGCTTGTAAGTACAGTAAAATCTTATCCACCCCTCCCCCATCTTCTCAGTTTACAACGTATACACCAAGACTTAATATTGTTTTTATAAATTTTTGTTTATCTGATTGTATTGTGATTTTAATTTCCATTTTATTGATTCATGGTGAGGCTGATCCTTTTCTCTAATTACTTATGTGGGTTTCCTCGTCTACGAATACCTGTTTCTATTAGGCTCATTTAGCTATTGAATATTTTTTATTTAGTTATAGGAGTTTTAATATAGTTTAGTTAACTGTATGTGTTCTAAATATCTTCTTCAAACCTCTGCTATTATTTTCTCTGTTTAATAGGGAGAACTGACGAGAAGAAAATATTATATCAAAATCCTAAATTTAATATTAATTTTCAAATTTAAAATTGGCTAATTTATCAATTTTTTCCTTTACTAATAGTGTTTTTCTATTCTGTTTAAGTATATCTTACTTGAGATCATAATTACATTCTTCTGTATTTTTTCTAAATGGTTTACCTTTTGCCTTTTAAATTTGAGTATTTGATCCTCCTGAGACTGACCATTCTATATAACAGGCGAGATAGAGATTTCCTTTATGTTTTTTCCATACACATAACAAATTAAATGGTATATCTTATCTTGTCTTCTATGTGCACAACTATATATATATATATATTCCTGT